ATCCATAGGGCCCAAATTTATCTGAGCATTGCACCTATCCATAGTTACCAGCTAAGCTATAGCCAGAATTTGCTATAAGAAAAAAAATGCCAGGGTTCTATAACTCTGCAAACTCAGTTCAACAACTGAAATCTATACTGTAGAGCAGTGTTTTTCAACCTTGACAATTTTAAGGCATGTGGACTTCAACCCCCAGAATTCCACAGCCAGCAATGCTGGCTGTGGAATTCTGGGAGTTGAAGTCCACATGCCTTAAAATTGTCAAGGTTGAGAAACACTGCGTGTAGAGTAATATGCCTGTTACTACATAACATTTCAGCAAATAAACTATTCCAATGAAAGGATAATCTGTAGCATTCAAGGAATATTTTCACCTGGAATAGCCAAGCTCCTTGGAAATCCAAACATGAAATGCATAAAATTACTATTGGATCAGCTAAATTCATTAATAACTTATCTAAAACAAACTAGCCATATGGTGCCAAAACTTTTTTTTTTTTTTTTGTCTACTAATGTAACAACAGGGTATAGTACAGTTCTACTGGAAGCATTATGTGACAGAACCCTCGGTGGCATTCTTCCCAGCCCAGGCACAAGAGAGAAAGAAACGGAAAAATAAAATAAAATAAAAAAAATCTCTAAGGCAATTGCATGCACATCTATTTGCATTTAAAACAAAAACAAAAACAGGTGAACAAAGAGTAAACCAGATGTCAACTTTCAAAAGCTAGCTGTCTGGTTTGGGAGAGTTAACAGAGGCAGACAAACTGCTAAAGCTCAGAGGGAGAGACAATGAGCTTCTCTCAAAACATTCTGGCCAAGGGGAGTGGCTATTTAAAACACTTGGCTTCCTTTATTTCAGCATGGCCGAAGTGGATTCTGCTTGCTCTTATGTGCCAACTCCAATGAAGTCATTTTGAGAACAAAACACTTTTTTTGGGGTGGGGGAGCCTTCATTTGCAACTACAAAAGCCCATGTGTAAATGAAATTAATTCTCTGATCTTATATAATGCTGACAAATCCTGTAAATATATTATGTCATTTTAGCAAACCGGAAATCATTATTGTGTTCTGCAAGAACTTTGAGAACATTAAGAGCAAATAAGAATTATAGTCTTAACCAACGTCATAAAAGTAAGGTGCCAGAAGTAGTAGAGAAAAGTGAATTACAACTGGCCTTCTGTAGAAGTCATAGATTCACATTTGATTTACAATGAAGGAGTGTAAGGATTTTTTTTCCCCCATTCAGTAATTTATTGTTGTTGTTTTCATGATGTTCTTAAAAGCACACTTTAAGGACAACCATTCAATTGTTCAAATACCTTCACCACAAAACACGTATTAATATATGGAACAGTCCTTTATAATATTTAATTTGACATTATGAGCTGGATTTCACATATTTTCAAATAAATTCAATTTAGCTATGTTCGGATGGTAAGAGCGAACGTACAACACACAAAAAAGAATTAAGAGAATTAAAGAATCTCTGCTATCATCTGATGTGCCAATAACAGAATTTTTAACATGAATTTCTTATTGAACTGAACATATTAACACTTTGGATTATCTTTAGGATGCTGTTTATACTAAGTTAAAATACCATCTTGAACTCCTTCCAAAAGCTAGTACATCGAATTATGATAATTAGGAAATTCTGTGGATAAAGCAATGCAACAGATGCACTAAAGAGTTTGCTGCAGAGAATGTAAGTTCAATATGTTCTCACATAATTAACATTTCCCATTGTTAATAGTAGCTTTCAGTTTATGTACTGATAAAATAATAGAATGCACTGATAGTAGAGATCAATGGGAATGAAATTATAATCATTTGACTAATAGTTTTTTAAGTTTTGGTCTTGGTAAAAGAAATTGTTGTCAAATTGCCAAAACATTAGATTGCTTTGTATCTTTTGCTGAAACAAAAGAAAAACTCAGAACTATTAGCATCCTAATATAATAAAGAATTGAGCCATTTTAAAACAATCCTATTGTAATTTCTAATTTGAAAGTAAAGAGAAGTCAGTGATTTTCACAATATCCTTTTCTCTGTTTCTTTAAATTCTTCTCCCTACCTTTCCTGTAAAACCTGCTCTGTAGGCCTTATTGGTATTATAGGAGGAGGTATTAGTAGGTGTTATAGGGCTCCATATAATAGGAGGCCTTATTGGTATTATATCAGGCAGGTATTAGTAGGTGTTATAGGGCTCCATTCTTACCCTAATATCTTTCTTCAATTAATACAAAACTGAGGTGCAAACTTTTGCTCCCAAGTATTCTGGTTACCCATTACTGTTGAAATGTACGTTATAATTGCTTTAAGAGCAAAGGCTACAGAATAACATACCTTGTACAGAACATAATCACATCATTTCATTCAATTGTTTTAAGCTTCAAATTAACGATACTTGCTTTCAATAAATTTCCATTTGAGGTTTTATAAAATAGCAAATTTCTTTGGAGATGGGGAACTGCTTCTTATGAAAAAGGACTACAATATAGTCTGTCTGTGATCCTAGAGACAGTTATTTGTGAGTAAGCATTCACAGGAAAGCATCTGTTTAACACTGAAGATTATTTTCCAGCACAGACTACTCATCATCTAAAAATCCTCCTATAACAACTAATCAGGATTTTGTAATACTGTACCGCGGACACACACAATATGATCTACTCTAGAAATCCCCAATTAAGTCTTTCCACTCCGAGCAGCATTATGAGATAGGATCCTGGGAGCCCAATCATAAATCCAGAGTTTCAAGCCAATCGCGATAATACATGCCAACACTACAAGTTGTGATATTGCTGTTGTGATGTAAGAATGTTAAGTCTACCAAAGTGGCATGCAAGGCTTACAAAGTGACTTTGAAGCTTCAAAATAAAAAAAAAGGTACATTTGTTCCCAATTCCAATTCTCATTATCATAAAACATCAGCTTGAGATCACTTTGCCCTCGTTGTGGAATATTTTAAAGAGTGGGCGCATGTATTGTATTAAGATCTCTTCTCATTTTCAAGCAAGAACTTCAAGGAGAAATCAGTTTCTGAATGTAGTAGATTCACTTTTGAACAAGCTTATTTCCATCTCCCCTCCCCCACATACCCTCTGGTCAAGAAGATTCCAGTGATCGGTTAACTTGATGTGACTTTGATATCTGAAAGGATGTTTACAGACTTGGGGATCAATTGGTAATTACACAGAACTAGAGTTACAACAGGACACTGTTAACAAAACCATAAGACTTTACTAGAAAGTATTTAACTGTTGCATTTCTAAGTTTCTGATTTCTACATTATCCTGTAGAAATGTAGTGAAGATAATGTGCAGCCACAAAAAGCAATAGCTTCCACATAAAGTGTTGTAATTTTCCTAGCACAAACATATTTGCAATTGAAATCCACCCATATTAGAGTTATTTACTTGTATTTAGTAGGCAACTTTTTTTAAAAAAAAAAAAGTCCACTACAAGTAAACCATGCAGGTATGAATGAATTTCTGTTTAAATATATCTCTATCTCTATGCAGAACCATAATGAGAAAAAAATATATTATAAGCCTTGCTCACAATTCATATATCCACATTGTATGTTTAGGTATATTCTCATTTTCAAATTACTGTCTGGATTACAATTCTCAAAATTCACAAAACATAACAATCCTAAAGATCAAATCAGCAAAAAATTAATTGCACAACAGCATAAATAAACACACATCCTATGTTAATATGAGGGCTTTGGAGCAACAAATATTTAAATCCTAAACTAATGAAGCAGCTTTAGGAAACAAGGTATCAAGCCATTTCAGATAAACAGTGTGAAACTCATAACTGTGCCAGAAAACCTGCTGGATTAAAAACTTAAAAATACCCTTATAAGATATCCATTCCTTACTTAAATACACGTTACAAGTGGCATACTAAGTTTCATAATAAGCCAAATTATTTTAAAATATAATACATTATTTTTACAAAAAGTACAGATCATATAGAATTATAGTAGGATAATGACTACCCAATTACTACTTTTTATTATATACATACACAAAAACATTTGTATTTTATTTCCTTCAACTTTCCATTGCTTAGAAGTTTTTGCAATTTAGTTCTGGTACACCTTTGGGCAGTTCTACATAACACTTTCATGTTAACAACTAGAATACTAATTCCACCCCCTTCTTGTTTTAATGCCTCTAGATATATCCATTTTAAAAAGTTTTTTTAATATAATTTAATTGCTGAACTCTAGCAATGTTTTTTTACTTTTTACAAACGTGTTAGGGCTTACTGTGTTCATGTTTCTAATCTTAACTTTCATTAGCAATGGAGAACTACCATAAAAGGCTACCTCTTTCAAAAATGTATTCACCATCTAGGCAAAAGGAAAAAAAAAAGTTACTTTCAAATTATTAAAGTAGCTTTTCAACCATCATACATAAAGAGCCACATTCTTCCAACACTAAAAAACTTCCAGCTGCAATTCGCTGAGGGCCAAGTTCTCAGTTGTGCTAAAACTGTTCTTTTCCACTGTTTACAAAACTTTCTTTCAAAACCAACACTTCACTCTAGTTTCTTCCTTGTGATAACTTTAATGAATATAGTTTGGACCCAAGAATAATATTAATCATATATCCTAACAGCCTGTGCAGTTGCTTTTGACAACTTTACATGTTTTCAGCAGAACTGAACATCAATAATCATTTTTAACAGCCATGATATATCTATTCAGGTATCATTCCATTACTTTCATTTAGCAAAAGAGGAGAATAAGGACTGAGCTATGTTGCTAAACAATGCATCCATAAATGTTGAAAATATTTAATGCAATTAGAGTTAAGGCTAACTTTATTAACAAATCATCACGGTACAAACATGAATTAAAATAAAATATGAAGAAATCTAAAATAGATTGTGGAGAGCTGTGAAAAATACTAACAGAGTACTCCTCCAACACAGGAATCATTTCTAAAACTCAGCTAGGCCTCAAGTTTGTTGTCCTGACCTTCTGAAGAAGAATATGAATTCTCAGCATTCTATTTGAAAAATAGCAGGAGCTGCTGTCCGTACAGACACAGATGTAAGGTAGTGTAAAACAGCCTCTGAATTATCTGGAATCTTTTTAACACTGGCAGTATAGTCTAATGTCCTTGCAGTGGTATTCCACAACTATTTATAGAGATGGCAATGCACTATGTACCTCAGGACAACCGTTCCAAATTTAGGAGCACATTTCTTTAAATCTTGCATGAAATAAGACCAGATTTCTATTTACAATTTGTGTTCCTAGTGCACTGTACATAATGCTCTTTTTCTTTTGTGGGCTTCTGTCCTTCAGTACAATTTCTACATCCAGATAAAATGCAAGTTTAGCTAAAGGTGATCTTTTTACTTAACTGCTTTCAATACTGATACTTATCTAGATTTGCCTTGCAAAACAACAACTAAGGATGTTTCTTCAACTTGATTAACTTACAGATTAGAATGTTTAGTGTTCCTGATAAAGAGTTTTAGCTGAGCTACTTTTATTCATTGGCTATTTTAAATCAGAACAGAGATACATCATGCCAGAAGTCACATAATCATTTAAAAACACCAGGTTTTTTTAAAAAATAGAAAATATATAACAAGACAGAGATTTTCACACCTGAAATTAAAACATACAATCATTTACATTTAGAAATAAAGAAAGATAGGTGCCCATCAACTTTGGAGACATTTATTGAAGGCCATTTGATATGGAAACATATCCCCATATCCAGAGCAGGTAGTTACTTCTAATCTCTTAACTATTCTGAGAAACACAGGTGACACTGATTTTTTAGTGTTTCAACAATATTTTAATACAGTGATAACGCTGGGTGCTTTAAAAAAAAGAAAACCATCCAGAATTATAAACATTTCTTGTTCGTCCATCTCTCCCAAGAGATTGGAATAAAAAACAAGAGTTTGGCTAGTGAGCTATTCCTCACTTTCCATTTTTTGTTTTGGATTTAGATAAACTTAATTCTCCCCCCTCCCCCCCATGTAAGTGGACTTTTCTTTGACAGTGTGAATTGTGAAACAAAAGAGTCTCTTTTGGCCAGTAGCACTATTAACATGTAGGGAGGGGATGCACAAGGTTCCTGTAAAAGGTTAGAGGAAAATAAATAAACATCGGGCTCCTACCGAAGGAAGTTTTCCAGGGACAATCTCTTCGCTTTGTTGGAACTGTGACTTTGTTGTCTTTTTGGGATACAATGTTTCTGCTGACTCCGGAAAATTTTCCACTTGAATGTGCAATTAAGCAGCAGCAGTTCTGGAGAAAGCAAAGAAGCAACGAAAGAGAACATTCCTTCTTTCATCTTTAAGGAGGGATAAAAAAGGGGGGGTGGAGAAAGGGGAGAAACGAAAATAGGAAAAAAAAAACAAAATCTTAAAGCTCTAACAGGCAGTTAAATCTCTGATCCAGTCACTTTACAAAGCTCAGCGCTAGGACGAGGAACTCAAGGGATGGGTTCATTTTACTATGCAAGGCCTGATCTGCTCCCAAGTTATTTCTTCTCGACGAAAAATGTGAAAAATGCCAAAGATTTGTGTGTGTGCGCGCGCGCGCGTGTTGAGTGTGAGAGAGAGTGCGCGCGCGCGCGCCAGGCTGCAAAGCAGTGACTCAGGCAACTAAATTAAAGCAGCAACAGCAATAAGGCGCAGAGGGCGAGAGGAACGGCGGCCGCCTGTTGCAGCTCTGGCTAAATACCCAAATCAGACTAAACTCCGCTGCAAACAGCTTTGCCTCCCCCTCCCCTGTCTCCCAAAGCTACTTTCCCTGATTTTCTCTTTCCCCCCAACTCCTCTCTCCACTGTTCACCTGCGGAGACTGAGAAAGGGGGGGGCGTGAAAAGAGGGGGGGGCAATCGACACGATTCTCCCAAGTAAATAACAGAGGACCGCCTCCCCCCCTCCACCGTTCCCTGCCACACAAAGCAAAGCGAACCGTAAAGAGAAGCGGCTCCCTCCAGCCTCCACTCGCCCCTCCACGCACACGCACAAAACTTACCTCCACTCCACTCCCCACCTTTGCAAACACCACCAGCCTTTCTTTTTTTTTTTTTTTTTTTTTTTTTTGCAAATCAATTTCAAACTTCTTCCAGCTTCCCCTGGGGACTTTTGGCTTGCTTTAATGGTCTAGCCTTCGTGTTTTGCTTGTTGTTGTATTGTTTTTTTTTGGGGGGGGATGTTAATTTTTTTTCCCCTCTTAAAAAATTACGGTGTGTGTGCGTCTTGGGCTCTACAGCTTGTTGGCTTGCGGGATTATTGAAGCCCTTCAAGTGATTAGTTACTGCCCCCAAACCGGTGGCGGCAGGGCGGGCTGGGCTTTCGAATGGGCTTGTGCAGCGCGAGCGATGCTAAGAATGTTCGGAATGAGAAGAGGAATGAAATGAACGCGAGGAGCGGACTCTCTACAGGGGAGGCGGAGCCACGGCCCGCAACAGCCAGGGGATGCGGAGGGGAGGAGCCAGGAAGCAGCTGGTGACCTCATAGGAAAGTCCAGGGGAGGAGGCAGCGAGCGAGGGGAAAGGAGGGGGGGGGGAGAGAGAAATCAGATCACATGGGGAGGGGAAAAGTTGGAGGGGGGGTGGGAAGATAGGTGTCCTCGCGAGCCACCTTAGTCGCAGGCGCAGCGGAGGAGCCTCTTGAAATGGGATCTTGCTCACATGCCGAGGCACAATCGCGAGGGCGGAGCCGAGGCCACTCGGCTGAGCCGGGATCGCTGCAGCTGCGGCTCCGGTACAGGCGGCGGAGAGCGAGGATTTCAGCGCCCTTGGGGGAAAAGGCTGGCTGATGCAAACTTTCTGGAGCTCCTTGGAGTGCGCGCTGGCGAGAGGTGGAATTTGTCTCGAATCAATCGCAGCAACGAGGAGGAGGAGGAAAGAAGCAAAAAAATGCCGCCGAGTTTCAGTGAAACACAACATAACTCTTTTAGGGTCGATGGGGGAAGAAAGCGTGTCTTGGGGAACAAATCATAGTTAAGGATGCCTTAATTGCGCTAGGGAAAGTAGGATGGGCGAGAGTTTGTTGGCATTTGTTTGTTTGCTCAGGGTGTGATTTACAAAAAAAAAAAAAAAATCTCAAGCGCGGCAACTCCTCCACTTTTGAATTTGTTTCAACGGCTGCGGTTGTGTGATTCCACATCGCTTGTTTCTCTTCCCGGGGTGAAATCGATGTCATTTCCCCCTTGCAGAAATGGGCTCCTTAGGGATTTTCGGTAGCGAACTATCTCATTTAACCATTTGAGATCTGGATGCAAAGGAAGCCACGTTGTAAAATCGGGAGCGGTGGGATCCTGCTTTGGGGAAAGGGAGCCGGAGCAAGGGTGGGTCACCGGAGTCGCTCTTCACCACAAACTAGGCAATCATTTGTGTGTAAACTTGGCATAATCCTGGGTTTAGCTTATGATTCTATGAGTCCTGAGAACGCAGAAAAATAGTTAAATAAATCAAAGTTGCTATGGGTAAGTTAGGGTTCCTGCAAACACAGGCTATCTTATGTAATTGTGACACTGAAATCTCATGTTTTGTTTTGTTTTTTTAAAAAATGCTTTTCTTCCAATTGTGATTTTTTTTCCTGTAGTAACTTATTACTGAAGTCATCTAACCATCATAAGGTTCTTTCTCACATTCACCTAGCCATAAACTATGTTAAATATGCTGGTTATATTTAGAAGATACAGCCCTGTGCTGCAGCCTTTGGCTCATCTCCAGCCCACCCACAAATGCAGCCGAAATTCACCTTGAGCTCTTCTCATTTTATAGCAGGGATTTCTATCTTGGCATCCACATGATATATCTTGTGAGTACCTATTCGCTGGTTGAGGCTGTCATTGCCCTCCATTTTGTTAGGTAGGTAGGAAACAGATTCCATACAACATTTTCCAACAAAATGGATATCCACACAACTTCATCAAAAAGTGCCTGAACACCAAATCCAATATAGCACAACCAACACAAGTTGTAAAAAGGATAACACTGCCATACATCAAAAACATCTCAGAAGCTACCAATAGATTATTACAATCACATGGAATTGGCATAGCATATAAATTGACTAAAGCCCTCCAAAACATCCTAAGTAAACCAAAAGGCCCAGCAGCCCCAGAAGAAAAACCATAGTCATCTATAACATACAGTATAAAGACTGCAACAGCCACTAAGGTAAGACAAACAGGCAAAAGACTAGCAGAACACATCTATGAACACCAACCAGGAGTCGGAAAACCCGAAGAAAGCTTTAATTTCACACATATGGACAGATTTAATCATGTTGTCAACTGGGAAACTGACCATCCTAGACCAAATCAAGTCCAAAAATGCTAGAGAATCCCTGGAAGCATAGCATATTGACAAATTGTCTATCAATAGACATATAAATGGGCGCAATGGCTCAGAAGTTAAAGATGCTTGTCAGCTGGAAAGTTAACAGCATGGGTTTGAGACCCAAGGAATGCACAACAGGATGAGCTCCTGTTACTTGCCCCAGTTCTTGCCTACTTAGCAGTTTGAAAATATGCAAATATGAGTAGATAAATAGATACCACTTGGGTGGAAAGGCAACAGCATTTCTTGTGCCTTTGGCCTATAGCCGTGGTGGCTACATGACTACGGAAATGTCTTAGGACAGACATGTCAAACACAAGGCCCGTGAAGTGGTTTCATGTGGCCCATGAAGCCATCCTGGAAACAGTGAGGGAACAGCCCCCACTGCCTTGGCCCTGGCCCAGGTCGGCCGGGAGCCAATGTACAATTTTGTGGTGGCCATCTATGCTGAAATGCATTCAGTCTTAACTCCACAAGGCCATCTGGAAACAGCGAGGAACCAGCCCCTGCTACGTCGGCCTCGCCCCCTGGATGCATGCTCGGGAGGTGTCACCCTTTGTGAGGAATGAAGCAATGCACCATCGCCTGGAAGTGGCCAGCAAATGGCCCTCACCTACTTCACATATCCGGCTTGATGGGCTCCGGCAGAGGGGTTTCAGCAGGCAGTGAGGCTCCTCCAGTGGACCATGCCTTGACACTTGCCCCGGTCCCAACTCCTTCTGCCAGAGACCCTCAGATATTTTCCACTCCTGCCCAGGCCCCCACAGGCATGATGTAGAGCTGGCCATGCCCACCCAATAGGCCACACCCACTCAGTAGGCTGTACCTGCCCTGGCCACACCCACCCAGTCCCCCCGAGGGCAACCGCAATGCTGATGTGGCCCTCAATAAAATTGAGTTTGACACCCCTGTCTTAGGATCCCTCGGTTAAGAAATGGAGATGAGCACCACCCCCTAGAGTCAGACACCACTGGACAGGGGAAACCTTTGTCTTTACCTTTTAGACACATAAACAACATCTACATGCTGTGCAAAACACACAATTAACAAGCCAAAATCGAAATAAAAAGATGATCTCCCCATGAGCATCAATATCCAGATGAGCATAGATTAACACCAAGTTTAACATCAGACCAACAATCAAGAAGTAAACAATACCCGAATCAAGGAAGTGCCAAACAAGCTAACAGTAAACAGCCCAAGGACCATTCCAACCAACACTGACAGGGCAAGACACTAGAATATAAAATGAGAGCAAATCCCACTCCTTACTGGCACTGATGATGTTACCTAGTTTGTGCAATGAAATGTCTGTAAGAAAACAACCAAGTTCAAAGAGCACCAAGGACCCCTCATTTCAACCATGAGCTCTATTATTTTATTTTATTTTCCTTTATTAAATAGGCGACAAAATAAGTGTGTCAAGAGACTGGTAGGGTTGACACACTTACTAGGTCCCTTAAAGCTCTTGGGCAAAAAGAGAGAATATAGTGAAAACATTGAAAAAAACTTGGCTATTCTGCCACTTGTTTTTATAGCAACTGGCATTCTGACTAAGAGTTCTTACCTGACAAAGATCCTTTTAGAGTACCTTGCTAACAATTAAATGACTTGGCACAGCACACAGGAATCCCTCAAACCTGCAGGATCCTAGTCTCTTCTACTCTTCTTAGTATATATTTTTCATTGCCACTAATGGGCCCATCCTAACATGTTATCACTAGAACATTTTCTTGCTTACGTGAAGTTCAACAATGGGAGGAGGTAACCAAATATTTATTTGTATATCTATATCTATCTCTA